AGTCACGGACACAGTCCGTGACTAATCCGTGACTACCGTTAGTCACGGCCAGAGCTCAGTGACTACATTTTAGTCACGCGGAATTGTCACGGACTTAGTCACGAACAAAATCCGTGACTAACATAGTTAGTCACGGATTTTTTACACTGCGATCCGTGACTAAGTCCGTGACTACAGGCGATTTTTTTTGTAGTGGATTGTCCCATTTTACCTTATCGGTGCGTCCCACTAAGATTGTCTCAAACCAAATTTGGTAAAGTTTGTGTGGCTCTAAATCATTCTTACTTTATTCTTACTTTATCAATTCAATATCAACCACATAAATCACTTTTTATTATTTTGCGTGTCACTCCCTCTTGCCTCATTGTTAGCGGAACGGAGGGAGTATGGAATTGTGAGTACATATCTCTACAATCTTATAAGAGTGAATGTTGTTATCTCTACAATCTCTACAATCTTATAAGAGTGAATGTTGTTATCTCAACAATCTTATAAGAGTGAATGTTGTTATGGGTATAATGGTCATATGAAATGTGTTGGTATCTCTGTATGCATAAACTCAACGTATGTAATGCTCCCTTTGTTGCACTTTTCTAACGTTGTTCTTAACGGTGGTTCTTGCCCTTAGTTAGTCTAGCATTGTTCATTCTTCCATTTGCTAACGGATTCCTGATCTCTCCATCTACTCTGTTCATGTTTTTTTTGTTTCTTTTCTTTTTTAATTCATTCTCTCATTACACTCATGACCCGTCCAGCCGCTTCCTCCTTTGAACTCTGGCACTCATTAATGGTCAGTAACGATGTCTCAGGAAACTCAAGAGGTCTGTCTCCCCCATTTTAAAATACTGCGCTCCAATTTTTTTGAAGGCCTTTCAGCCTTTCCACTTCTGAAGTCGCTTGTTCTTGTAAGTTCTTTTCTCTGTGATGGATAAGTGTACCCGGGGTATCTATCCGAGGGATTACTGCGGGGAGTAACCAGAGAGAAGTCAGAGCGGAAGTAGAGAGAGTGTATATTGATAATGGGCGTATTCAGCGTATTGAGCGTGGTTTACAAATGGGGAAATGAGTGCTATTTATAACAGTAATAAATGCTAGACAGGGACACGTGTCATCATTCTGGTGGTCGAGGGGTCACCTCAACGGGGTGGCACTGGCATTCGCATGTGGCCGCATTATAAGAGTGAATGTTGTTATGAGTATAATGGTCATATGAAATGTGTTGGTGTCTCTCTATGCATAAACTCAATGTACATAATGCTCCCTTTGTTGCACTTTTCTAACTTTGTTCTTAACGGTGGTTCTTGCCCTTAGTTAGTCTAGCATTGTTTATTCTTCCATTTGCTAACGGATTCCTGAACTTTTCATGTTTTTTGTTTCTTTTCTTTTTTAATTCATTCTCTCATTACACTCATGACCCGTCCAGCTGCTTCCTCCTTTGAACTCTGGCACTCATTAATGGTCAGTAACGATGTCTCAGGAAATTCAAGAGGTTTGTCTCCCTCATTTTAAAATACTGCGCTCCAATTTTTTTTGAAGGCCTTTCAACCTTTCCACTTCTGAAGTCGTTTGTTCTTGTAAGTTCTTTTCTCTGTGACGGATAAGTGTACCCGGGGGTATCTATCTGAGGGGTTACTGCGGGGAGTAACTAGAGAGAAGTCAGAGCAGAAGTAGAGAGAGAGTGTATATTGATAATGGGCGTATTCAGCGTATTGAGTGTATTGAGCGTATTGAGCGTTGTTTACAGATGGGGAAAGGGGTGCTATTTATAGCAGCAATAAATACTAGATAGGGACACGTGTCATCATTCTGGTGGTCGAGGGGTCACCTCAACGGGGTGGCACTGGCATTCGCATGTGGCCGCATTAAATGCGGCGGTTGGATGTGACGTTTGTACTTGGTACATTGATCCAGCGCATGTGGGTGGGAGATTCTGTCGAGGAGATGCCTTCGACTGTAGATGACTATCAAATGCTCTTCATCCCGGGGGCCTTTAGGTGCCGAGGACTCTAGATGCCGAGAGCTACTGTTTTCGCCGTTTTCTCCCAGTAACTTCGAGTGCTTAAAAGCAGCTGTTCTGTAAGTTTATGAGGCCTTCAGCCAGGGGATCGAAGGCGGCTGCGTGGGCAGCGTGGGCCTCCTGTCTCTTGGGGCGCAGTGACTCTGGCCTGCTGTACTTCCTGGGCCTGTTGGGCCTGTATTAAAATAGTGGGAGTCTATGGACCGCGGGTTCCTGGGCCATATACTCCATCACTCTGTTTTGACAATTTACATTTTATGTTGATTTTAATTTGATTTCTTATCGCGGTCCTGATTATTACTATCGTATTACTTAGTTTTTACCTCCTGAAGCTGTGATGTTGCTAGGCTTTTGGACTGTTGTTTATGAAATTCTCCCACCTACAAATTAGTTTCATTGATTGTGTCTTTTTGCACAAATTAGAGTACACGCTATATGAGTAGTTATATTTGCTTTAGAGTGCTTTCAATTATCTAGCTGTTTTAAATTTATCCTCTCACTGTTTTAAATAATACTCTATATTCTTTGAGTCAAATTATGCAGATTATAATGCTAATCATTTAGGGGTCTGCATGGATGAAGGGTTGCCGAATTGTGAAGTATAAGGCTTTGGAGAGCTTAGTCTAGATCTCAATAAATAGCATGTTTCTGAAAATGAATAGAGGGTGATCAAAGTTATCGCCTATAAAGCTATAACATTATTCATTTATTCCATCAATTTTTTATGAATATCTCATAAATATATCAGTGTATAATCTCACCCCTTCAAAACCCTCCATCGATCTGTAATGACACTCAGACTATGTTTGGATGGGAGGGGAATAAAGACCAAGGAAAGTCCGAATCATGCAAGTCCCTAAACTTATACTATGTAAATCATTATATATGAACTAAATGGTTTTTGGAAAATGGGATTTAAAAAGTTAGCTTTAGTTAAATTAAGGTCGAATCAAGTTTAAAAAGAGAGTACTGCACATAGGCCGATGTTTATGTTTTAGTGTTTTGTTAACTAATTGTTACATTGAGATTTAAAGAGTCAGTAAGACAGTAAGTATATGAAAATGTTTAAGTTTGAAGATCGCATTTTTTGGGACATCTTATAGGAAAATCGAACTGCATTTTTTGAAAAAAAAATGTCTGTACCTAATTACATAGTGTCCCAAGTAATTATAAATTTATAATGGATGTCCTTTTCAGTAAATTACAATATGGAGTCTTGAATGTACCTAATTACATAGTGTCCCAAGCATTTTTGCTATGTTTATTTTATCAGATGAAGTCATAACTAAGATCCACCGAGCTGATATACCCACACGTGGCTCAATCAAGTTTCGATAACAATAAAAATATCTTGATGCTTTAACCTAATGAAATTCAAAGAATAAAAAATAAGAAGTTTTGTCTCAAATACTTTTGATATTTGTCTTCTTTTTTATTCAATAGTAAATGAACTTCAATAAATCTTATCATGTTATTATGGTTATTATAATCATCTTGGTTGCTTTATTTCCCTACATACAATCGGGGCTACAAATATTTTATTCATTAAGTTTCTTTATCAATTTCTAACAAACAATGTACACAAAATACTCCTCGGCATATACACATAACCCCGACCATCAATTAATATACCTACAATGGTCTTGACCATTTACATGAACGCGCATCGCGCGTTGCTAAACTAGTCATAAATCATAAATCTAAAAAGATCGACTAAATGACGACAGGGCTTAACCAGTTTCACTAATTCAAATGACGACAGTTGAAATTTTGAAACTGTAAAGGGAGAATTATCAAATAAGCCCTCGAACTTTCATAAAAAACGCAAATAAGCCCTTTTATAGGAGGCTCTGTCCGGCCGCCGCCATTTGGGGCGGTTTTCGGTAGAACTATTTGATGAAATTTTTTGAGTATCTTCTCCATTAAGTCTAGTTTACGCATACCAAATTTCAGCTAAACATTCAATCAAGAAGGAAGTCAAATGAAATTTTGAAGATAACTGCGCAGTTAGGCAGCACAGTATATTTCAGAAAATCATTTGACTGCCTTCTTGATTGAATTTTTAGCTGAAATTTGGTATGAATAAAGTAGACTTAATGAAGAAGATGCTAAAAGAAATTCATCCAAAACTTTCACCGGAAACCCCCCCAAATGGCGATAGCCGGACAAAGTCTCATGTAAAAGGGTTTATTTGCACTTTTTATGAAAGTTTGAGGGCTTATTTGATAGTTCTCCCAAACTGTAAATAATATCCGCGAGATGAATTGTTTTAGGCAAATTTAAGTTTTTCGGTTTCCCTCGCACTATCTGAAGATGACACCCCATCCCTGAGGGCCCCAACCCCGACCGGACGGTACGTTGGGAGGATGTAAGTTGGACTATAATCTCAATCTGACAGATAGAGAGTGGGGCTCTGTCCGGAGGATGGGGTGGGGCTGGGGCGGGGTGTGGTGGACTGGGGCCTGGGGCCTGGGGCTGAGGCTTGCGGTGCGGTGGCTGCCTAAACAGCCGGGGTGGTTGGTTTAAGGTGGTTCAATGGAAGGGGCAGAAAAGGGTAATCACTGGCCGGGGGAAGGGGCGACAGTCATTGGTCGGGGGCAACGACTCCTGGTCGGGGGCGCCGCTGCCTGGCCGGGGGTGGCGGCAGTCACTGGCTAGGGGCAGCGGCAGTCACTTTGGTCAGGGTCACTGTGACCGATGAATATGTAGTCACTTTGGTCGGGGGCGGCGGCAGTCACTGAAGGGTGGAGTCACTGTGGCGGTGGAGTCATTGTGGCCGGAGTCACTTTGACTGGAGTCACTGAGGTAGTGACAGGCGGCGGTGCCGGTGGTGGCGATGCTAGGATCGGCGGCCACGGAAGTGTTGGTGGCTGCAAAATATGGACTACTAATCAAATATATAAAAGGAATATTAAAATTATAAATGCATTATTCAATACAAGGAATAAGTGACTTTTAGTCACTTTTTTGAAATAATTTAAAACACGTCACGTTTATGTTTTTTCTCATTCATTTTAGTAATATAGAAATAAAAAGACCTATTTATTTACTCCGTATTATTTATTGAAAAAGGCAAGCAATCTCTTCCATATTTACCCTCGTTTTTTATCGTCAGTACGTTTGTACATTTTTATGTTGCATGGATTGAGGAAATGCCTATTTATGGAAAATGTTCATAGCACGGCTACCTTGGCCTCAAATGAGATGATAATTAAGAGGCATTTGTTTACCAAAGATAATCATAATAACAACTTATGTCCTCAATTTTAAATCCATTATTGCAATATTCTTCTTCATCCACGCCGTCCATCTGATCATATTCGCAATATTGTTCCAAATCCGAGACGTTGATGCCATCAACTTGTGTGGGAAACAGAGGTTCCATTTCGATGTCTACCATACCCATCCATGACAGATCTAGACCGTTCAATTCCGGAAAATCTTGACCGTCAAGTTGACCCGCATCGGACGGTAGGCATGCTATAGTTCTCCGTTGACCACTCTCAAATAAACCGCTGCCGCCCACGTTGACTATTTCGTCCTCCAAAGATCGGATAACACCCTTCAATCTTTCATCATCGAATTTCTCCGCCACGCCCGGGGTATCATCAAGCAATGACTTAAGAAGGTTGTCACAGCCGTCGATTTGAGAAAAGTCAACTTTGTCAATTTCATCACCGCCGTTCATGCACGGGCTCTCCGAAACGAATGTAGTGGCCATTTTTGAGCTAGAAAGAAAGGAAATAAAATGAAGAGAGAACTAACTAGCTAGAGTCTAGAGAAGTTTCAATTCGATTAAGAAAGTGTGGTGCTATACTAATCTCAAGAAAGCACGAGCTTTATATAATGTTAGGACTCATAATTAAAGGGAAATGAAAAACAACATGTCCTCATATGCTAGCTAACTGACAGTCACACATCTACTAAAAGGTGGAATTGCCCACCCACACCTCCACATATAGATGCCCCCCATTACTTGGTGCATACACTGTACTAGCTAGTTCAGTTTAATTTGATGATACAATTGCGGGTTATGATATTTGATCAACGATAAAGCAAAACGGAACTGTGTTCGCGCTCAAGTTATTTTCAGAAAGAAAAAAAATACATATCACGAAAAGCTTTACAAAGTCGCAAAAACTAGAATCAAATTTGATAAAAAATTGATTTTATATATAAAGTAAGAGAATAAGCTGAAGTGATTTTTTTTACTAAGTGAGCAAGAAGTGGTACCATGAGATTGGGACGGAGGTAGGTAAAGGAGTTCCTCGAGTTGGAGGTAACCCTTGAGATTGACACAGACGGGATTCAATCTTGTTGTCGTTGTATCAAAGTTTCACGTTTATAACCAACTAATCTATCCAGAGGTATCGGTGGGCGTAACTCAACTGGTAGTAAGGGAGTCACACAAGGGTTAGGTCCTGAGATTGAATCCCGGCAACTGCGATGAGGAGTTACTATGCTAAAAATGCATAGGTCGGGCCTCTGCAAGTACCGGGTACAGAGCCCCACTCTCTATCTGTCAGATTGGAATTATAGTTCAATATACATCCTCCTAACGTACCGTCCGGTCGGGGTTGGAGGCCCTCAAGAATGGGGTGTCATTCTTACTCTATCCGGAGGCGTAGCCGGCTAGGGGCCAACCTAGGCCCCGACGCACACCGAATTTCAATTTGGTTTAAATTGTTGTGCTAAAAATTCGTGTAAAAATATTCTTCACATGCACAGACGACCTCAATATAGTGCACTGCCTGGACCAGTAAATCTACCCATGCGGGCATTCGCGCAATGGTCATTAACTCAAAGGATCCTCTAGGCTAAAGAAGTGGCAGAAATTAAAGGCACGTGGTAAGCATATTCATCTTCATGAACATACATTGCATGTTCATGTGTGTATATACGGAGTATATAACTTGTTTTCCGTCCGAAAAAATGCATGCATTTGAGTTGTAAGATAAAACACCAACAATATATAGGAATTGTAATCTTCTGGTTTTGGGTGACCAGCATATATATGCATATATTCGTACAGCAAGTCGGAAACAACTGCCCACTGGACAGAATGAATTGTATTGGAATTTTTATTAAAATAGTACCCTCCATCTCAAAATAAGTTGTAATTGTACAATTCAATCCTCTGGCCGGGGAATGGGGCAATTCCTTTTAGTTCATTAACTTTGAGTCTTAAAACTTTACTCATGGCGCTGTCCTGTTTCGAATTAATACAACTTTGAGTATGTAGAGCTTAACAAATAAATCTTAATTTTTAATAAAATATGAATATTAGGAGAAGATAAATAATTGACTTTATATAATTAACTTTTGCCTCTCAATCGTCATTATCTCAAATTAGGACAGGGATACTCCGTAATTTTAATGTAAGACGATAATAATGAGAAATTCTTTGAAAGTGATTTAAACATTTCAAATATTTTTTCTAAACAAAAGTGACACTGTTTTATTTCAAGAACATACACTCCACTTTCACTCTTAAAAGAATGATTTCCTACTTTTATTATTTTATAATAGTAACACATTTCATTCGTCCTAAATTGATTTGCAAACTTAATTTTTTTCCAATAAATGTTAAAATTAAATCTTCCCTATTTATATTTAATTGAATTTTAATAATTCAAATATATACCTAGAAACTACATTACAATATCTATGAAGCTGGAAAACCCAAATTAAAATATAATGAAAAATTGATATCCTAATTAAGTAAAGTGAACAAAATGCAATTGTTTGACCAAAAAATTAATATTGCAAATCAATTTAGGACAGAGATAGTATAATTTACTGAAATAATGAGGACGAATAAAAATGTGAACTCTTATAAGAAGTGACTATTAGTAACAAAAAGTGATTTTGATTATATACAGTGACCATGAAATTATTCACGTATTGTATTTTTAGTCATATTTTATTGACATATTTTGTTTAATTTAGATTAACATTAATACATTATAGTGAAAAACCACTTCGTCTTTTATTAAGACAATAAGACTAGACTAGATGCGTCTATTTTGGGATAAAACAAGAAAACTTACATTTATGTTGGGATTGGAAAATTCTTCTATTCAATATCAAGAACAGAATAGGAGGAACAAACTCTCACACTCAACTATTATAAAAACCAATCCTGACCAATACACTAAATGTATTTCACTCTTCACACACTTTTCTCACTTTCTAAACTGATGATTATGAACAACAATACACTCCCTATTTATAGGTGTATATGGGAGACATGAGGAAGTTGCATCCAAGCTTCCATTCCCATTGCTAGCGAGTTTCCTAGCTATCTCCAAGTACCTTCCATGAAGGGATGCGGAAGTACCTCAATGTTGGATGGCTCCTTCCTAGAAGGTGTTATATGTCTCTTGGCAACTTCCATGAAAGAATGTGGAAGAATCCTACAAATCTCCCCCTCCGCCTTTTTCTTTATTTCTCTCGTTCCTGCGGTGCTCGCTGCCCCCCCCTCACTGGCAACAAGTATCCATTCGAATGTGGCGTATTTTCTCTGTGGAACTATGCCTCACATAGAACGTCGAACATGAGTACCTTCAGCTTCGTCTTCAGATGAAGGCTCCCCCTGCTGAGGAATATCATCAATGTGATCATCATCATTACCTACTGAACCATCACTCTCTTGTTCAGTAGTATCATACATCTCCTCGTCGCTGAGAGGAATGTTTGATGATACAAGGACTTCATCTTCTGGAGTATGTTGTTGGCGGATTATTGGAGCACACTCATGAAACTCGTTTTCATTAAATACAACATCTCTGCTTCGTACAACTTTCTTCACTTCAGGATCCCACAACCGGTATCCCAATTCTTCATCTCCATAGCCGATGAAGATGCACGGGTTTGATTTGAGATCAAGCTTCTGTCTCAACTCCTTGAACACATGTGCAAATGCCTTGCACCCGAACACTTTTAAGTGAGAGTAAGAAACATCTCTTCCTGACCATTTCTTCTCTGACACTTCAAAGTTTAAAGGAATAGAAGGTGACCTGTTTATAAGATAACAAGCTGTCAGCACAGCTTCACCCCAGAATGGCTTCGGTAGTTTAGCCATACTCAACATGCAACGAAGTTCTCCACAATGTTTCTGTTCTTTCTTTCGGCTACACCATTGTGTTGTGGAGTTCGTGGAACCGTCTTCTCATGTCCGATTCCATATGCGGCGCAATATGCTGAGAATTCCCTGGAAGTGTACTTTCCTCCATTGTCTGAACGTAGACACTTCAGCTTCTTCCCTGTTTCTCTTTCTACCATGGCATGAAATGATTTGAAACGATCAGACACTTGATCCTTACTCTTTAGACAGTAAGCCCATACCTTTCGTGATGCATCATTAATGAATGTCACGAAATATCTGCTTCCTCCAAGTGACTCCTCTTCAATGGGTCGACATACATCTGTGTGGACAAGACTGAGTAACTGTGAATGGTTCTTCCTGGTAGAATTGAAGGAAACTCTGTGTTGTTTCTCAAATAGACAGTGCTCACATGGATCTAGGGCAACACCTCTACCCAAGGAAATGGCTTCCTTCTTTGCAAGAGTTGTCAATCCCTTCACACTCAAGTGCATTAACCTCCGGCGTGAAATGATGCGGCTGTATCAACCACCCACTCAACATCATGAGTACCTACGTGTAAACATTCTTGTTCACCATGTGTAACAAGTAACACGTCCGATGACAAACTAACCATGGTCGCACCATCTTCTTGGTTAGTATTTTGACTCGTCTGTGGCTGTTCTCGTAGAAACTTTCTACAATCTCTTTTTCTATGCCCATAATTACTACAGTAATTGCAATATTCTTCAAACCAAGTATTGTTTTCAAAGGACATACCTCTCTCTTGTGATCTGCCACGAACTTGAGAGTTTCCTCTATTTTGACCTTGGCCTCTACCTCGACTCTGACTTCTTCCTCAATTTCTGCCTCCCCCTCGTCTATTTGTTTCTGATATGAAGGCATATGATTGTTCACTCCCGGCTTCTTTTCTTCGGGCTTCTTCGTTCATAAGGGCATCTGTGACCATCTCCATAGTCACCTTGCCATTGGAAACAGAATTGCTGAGAGTGACAACAAGAGTCTCCCAACTGTCAGGTAGAGAGCTCAAGAGTAGTATCGCCTGCTCTTCATCTTTGAGAATCCATCCGGTGGTGCTCAACTGATTTACAAGATCCTGGAATTAACTGGTGTGTTCTGACACCGAAATACCACCTCGTAACTTGTGGTTTACTAATCGCCTCATTAGTAATGTCTTATTTCGAGCGGTTTTTGCTTGATACATGCTACCAAGCTTCTCCCATAGTGTGTAAGCACTCTGTTCTTGAGCAACATGTTGGAACACACTATGATCGATCCACTATCGAATTTGTGAGATAGTTTTTCGATTCATTTTTATCCATTCTTCATCCGTCTTTTTATCCGGTTTGATGCCATTATTATCAAGAGGATCGGCTAAATCCATCAAATTTAGCAAATCCTCCATCCGAGGCTTCCACATATTGTAGTTTGTGGAAGTGAGCGCAATCATGAAGTCTAACGATGATTTATCTATAATAAAACGCTCAATATATCTCGTACCTTATTTTCGAAGCCGAATTTGGACAAACAGAGCTCACCGTTGGATCCGGTCTGACCTCGTCCAAAACCGGTCTGGAAACGGGTGAACCGGCCTCCACGACTACGAACCGGTTCGGTCCGGTTCAGGCAGCAGCCCAATGGGCAGACCAGCAGACTGATGACGTGGCAACAACTGGATCTGTGCTGACGCTGACGTGTCACTGATGTGGAGCTGACG